GGTAATTGGCAGATTAGCATCCTCCTCAAACAGTGAATTCATGTAGTAAGCAAAAATATTACCAATTTGAGCAAATGATAAATATTCTGCCATAATTTTACCCGATTTCTACTCCAGATGAAGTAACTATATTTGACCAGCAGACAGCATAGGCGTTCAGTTAGTCCGAGGCATTTGGCAGCAGTCAGTCAGCGGTGGAGAGAGGTCACAAAAGCGGCTGTGCTTATCTTAGAGAGTAAGCGGCCTTGCGGCTGCAACCACTGAAACAGCTGCGGCTTTCCCGCAGCAGCGGCCAGGGGAAGCCTCTGCTGAAAGGCCTACCTCGACTTTAGGCAGCTAGAAACTGTCTCCGAGCTGGGTGGATGGTTCTGAGCAGCTCAGCTGCAGTGGGTCGGCTGCTAGCCGGGAACGCAGAGTGACCTAGCCAGCCGGCATGGCAACAGTCTGTACGCAAGCCCAAAAAGAGAAACCGAAAGCAAAAACGCAGTCCCCCTACTCACTCTGACCACGCCCTCACAAGCCCTCAGGTACTCCTGTAGCCAGCCCCTAAGAAGGCGTGGCTACAGCTTCCCCTACAGTCTCTGTTTCCCTTTCATGGTGATTTGGTTTCTGGGGCCACCACAGGTCCATGTTCAGTTGTGCACTCCTTATGTCTGGCATCATCTGCCTAGTCACTATGCAGTATAGGCTGCCAATTGCAAACGGTGGTTTCTCTGTCCCACCACATCCCACAGATGCTTTTAAAGAATCACTCAGAGGCTTAATATTAATTATAAATGTTTGGCCAATAACTCAGACTTATTACTAACTAGCTCTTACCTTTAATTTAACCCATTTCTGTTAATCTACATTTTGCCACCTGGCTTCGGGGCTCTACCTGTTCTCAATTACATCTTGCTTCCCCTGCAGCTACATCGCCCTGACTCTGCCCTTCTTTCTTCCTCCCTGTATCTCCATTTGGCTTTCCTGCCTGGCTTTATTTGCTTTGCTATAGGCCAAAGCAGATAAAATTGTTTATCTCTTTCCTCACTTTAACTATCTACCATCGTCACCATTATCATAAAGTTCATACTGTTTGCTCTTTTTGATGTATTCCATCATATGTTAAACCTTATATCACATTATTATAGGAAATAGGTTTGTATATATGTCTTTACTTAGTATCTCGTAATTCATTTTTAAAGTCTACATCATGATCCAAAATATACTTTCAGTGTCCATCCATCCATCCATCTCTTTGTATTTGTTTTGTGTGTGTGTTTCTTTTTTTATGGACTGCCACTTAAATAGTGTTGGGGAGAGGAGACAAGGACTAGTAGTGATGACTTGGAAATGTGGCGTTTCTCTTTGTCCCTCAGCACCACCAGCTCTACAGCCAGCAGCTGTGACACAGAGTTCACTAAAGAAGATGAGCAGAGACTGAAGGATTATATCCAACAGCTCAAGAACGACAGAGCTGCCGTCAAGCTGACCATGCTGGAGCTGGAGAGCATCCACATCGATCCGCTCAGCTATGACGTCAAGCCAAGGGGTGACAGCCAGAGGCTGGACCTGGAGAATGCTGTGCTGATGCAGGAGCTGATGGCCATGAAGGTGTGCTTCATTTGTTGGGCCCACCTAGGGGGATACCTCACAGGGCTCCAAGAGCACAGCCACAGAATTTAGTTAGTAATTAGATATGTCTGGACCCTAGCCAGTCTCTTTGGAGAAGGGAGGCTTTCTTTTATGCAGAAGTCCTATGGGCTGGACTTTATTGGAAAGGCAATTGAACCCCAAAGGATGCTATGGAGTACCCAAGCTCAATACCTTCCTGTCAAGGGTTAAGCCACACCTGAAGCCTCTGTCTGTCCATGATGATCCCTCATCTCAGTAGTGGTAGAAGTCCATGCTGGAGGGAGCTGGAACAGGAGGAGACCATGGCAAAGCCAGCTTAGCAATTGGCAAAAAGTTCTGGTTTCCTGTCACTCTGGGGCATTAGAAGCTCTGTTTAGAACTGGCGCCCTCCGGACAAGTGGTGGTGGTGCATGCCTTTAATCCCAGCACCCGGGAGGCAGAAGCAGGTAGAAGTTCCAGGCCAGCCTGGTCTACAGAGCAAGTGCCAGGATAAGGTCCAGAGCTAGACAGAGGAACCCTGTCTCAAAACATGAAACAAAACAAACAAACAAAAGAACTGGTGCCCTCCAATGAGAGTTGGCAGAACAGTTCTGGCAAGTATCCTGCCAAGATCTTGGGCTTTTCACCTATGGGCTGAGCTACCTGTCAACATTTCTAGAGAAAGGGAAGCCATTGTCCTTCATTGGCAATTAGTTACCATGCCATCCCTGAATCTCAACCAAGCACCAGCAACGGGGAGGCTGATAGGAGCAGCTGGTGCAGGTCCTCAGCTCTGGACTGGGCTGCCAGGCCCTGGTCATCACTTCTCTGTGATGATGGTGTTTGAATCTGGGAAGATACAGGGCAGGAAGAGATGTGGGAATCCAGGCATCCCTCCTTGGTACTAACCCTTGTCCCCCTACTAAGCTCTTCTACATCCAGCCACTCAGCTCACAGTGCTCACATTCCTCTGGATGAGTTCTCAGGACTGCCTATGAGCTTGGGCCTGAGTGTATAATCATAGTGACTTTGCCCCAGTCAGGAGCTTCTGTTGCAGACTCTTGTGCCATGTGATATGAGCCATTAGGTTGTTCTTCTATTTTGTGCTGCAAACTTCATGTTTTCTTTTATCCAAAGACTTAGCATTTCCTTTTTATAGTTCG